CAAACGGTGCAAACGGGGTGAAACGGGGTGTTTGCAAACGGGGCCGAACGAGGTGTTTGCAAACGGTGCAAACAGGGCCAAATGGGGTGAAACGGGGTGTCCGCAAACGGGGCAAAACGGGGTGTCTCAAACGGTGCAAACAGGGCGAAGCGGGCTGTCCACAAACGGAGTGAAACGGGGTGTCTGCAAACGGGGCCAAACGGGGTGTACGCAAACGGTGCAAAACGGGGTGTTTGCAAACGGGGCCAAACAGGGTGAAACGGGGTGTTCACAAACGGTGCAAACGGGCTGAAACGGGGCGTCCGCAAACGGGCTGAAACGGGGTGTCCAAAAAGTGCTGCAAACAGTGCAAAACGGGCTGAAACGGGGTGTCCCCAAAGTGCTGCAAATAGTGCGAAACGGGGTGAAACGGGGTGTCCGCAAACGGTGCGAAATGGGGTGAAACGGGGTGTCCCCAAAGTGTTGAAAACGGTGCAAAACGGTGCGAAACGGGGTGAAACGGGGGGTCCCCAAAGCGCTGCAAACAGCCCGGGCCCGAGCGCCGTCCCGTGTCCCCGCGTGCCCCGTGCCGCTCTGGGGCAGCCTGATGTGCCAAAATTGGGGGTATTTGCCAAAATTGGGGGTATTTGCCAAAATTGGGGGGCTTTTGCCAAATTGGGGGTATTCGCCAAAGTCGGGGGTATTCGCCAAAATTGGAGGTATTTGCAAAGTTGGGGGTAATCGCAAAATTGAGGGCATTTGCAGAATTGGGGGTATTTGCAGAATTGGGGGTATTTGCAGAATTGGGGGTATTTGCCAAATTGGAGGGTATTTGCCAAATTGGAGGCATTGACAAAACTCGGGGGTATTCTCCAAAACTGGGGGTATTTGCAAAATTGGGAGCGTTTGCAAAACTGGGGGCATTTGCCAAAAATTGGGGGTGTTTGCAAAAATCGGAGGCATTCGCCAAAATCGGAGGCATTCGCCAAAATCGGGGATATTCGCCAAAATCGGGGATATTCGCCAAAATCGGGGTTATTTGCGAAAGTCGGGGGTGTTTGCAAAACTGGAGACGTTCACCAAAGTCGGGGTTTTTGGCCCAAACCGGGGGTGTCGCGGGGGTCCCGTCCTCCCGCCGCTCCCTTGGATCCCGTTGGCTGTTCGATCCCCGGGATTATCGCGGCATTCCCTGCCGGAACGCCGAGCGCCGCCTTTATTCCCGCGCCGCGACGTGTGGAATTGCCAGGGATGCGCGGGAGCGCTGCCGCCCCGGAGATTCCCGTGAACGGGAATGCCGAGCGAATCCGCGGCAGATTCCCGTCCGTGGGGCTGGGCGGGGTGCGCGGAGGGCGCAGATTCCCGTTTCTCCTCTGGAAACCTGGATCCCGCCGCATCTCGGCGGGATTTGCGGCTCTGCGGCGGCCTCGCGTTTCCCGTGGGATCCCGCGGAGGGAAGGGCGTCCGTGCGCATCCCCGCGCCGTCCCGCTCCTCGCCGCGTGCGGATCCGGACGCTGCCTCAGGATCCGCGCCAGGAAAGAGCCTGCGGGAGCATCCGGAGCCACCGCCGGGAATGCCGCTTCCTCCTGCTCGGATTCCCGCTGCCCTGGGCGGCCTCTCCGGGAGCTCCGGCCTCTTCCTCCTGGAAGAGAATCCTCATCGGCGCGCCGGGATGCGGCGCTGCAGGAATTAACCGCAGGATTTGGCCGCCGATCCGCAGCGGGCGGCCGAGGCGCGTCCCCTCGGCGCCCCATCCCGCGGGAACGGGCCCCGGAGCGGGAAGCGCCGCCCATCCCTTCCTTTCCATTGCCTGGGGAGCCCGGGATGCTTCCCTAGATGTTCCAGGTGGAAAAGGCCACGGATCCACGCCACGGAGCCTGACACTGGGAAGAAGCCGGGAGTTTTTCCGGGCGAATTCCGGGAGAGCAGCACGGAGCTGCGGGAAAGCCGCCTCCTCGCAGGTCGCTTTGTCCCGGGGATCACTAGGAACCATCGACTTCTTGGGCGGCCGCTTCCAAGGGGATGCTCCGAGCTCGGACCTCATTCCCGGCGGGACTGTCTCCGTGTTTCTCCATGTTTCTCCATGTTCTCCTCCCTTCGGAACCTGCCCTCCACCCTTATTTACCAAAAAAGTGCATTCCTATAAATTTGCCCATTCCGGCGCATCAGGGGCCTGGCACCTGGAAATCCCTGCCAGGTTGGGACGTTCCCTGCGGATCAGGGATGCGCGGGATTTTCCGTCTCCGAGATCCCATCCCCAGCTGCCGAATTCCCTCCGTAGCGCCCCGGAGGAGAGCGAACACGGATGGCAGCGGAGCGCGGGATTGGGAACGCGCGGCGCGGCGGCCCGCCCCGCTCCCACCGCATCCCTGCTCCCGCCGCGGGAATGCGAGTCTGGAAGTGATTTCCAGCGAAAAGGCTCCGAGGAAGCGGCGCTGCCGGGGGAGGGGAGGCCGCCGCCTCCCGCGCCCGTTTTGGGGCCGTTGCAGCCGTTTTGGGGCGTTCCGGTGGCAGCGGCGCTGAGGCCGACCCGGAGTTCCAGTTTTCTTCCTGTCCCTTCCCAGATGCGGCTTTTTTCTGGGATTCTCCATCCGGCGGCGGGGATAAAAAGCTTCCAACTCCTGGCACGCGACTGAGAATACGGGGGATACGGATCCAAAATTCCTGCTTAAAAGTCTCCGTTTTCCCTTTTTTTTGGCTTTCTCCGCTCGAGAATCCTTCCTAAAAGAGTCTGGAAAAATCTTTTCCCTCCCCGTGCGGCCTGGATGGGGAAGCCGCTCATGGAGCCAAGCTCTCCCGAAGGAAGCGCCTCTGGAGCAGAGCGCGGACGCCCTGGAATTCCTTAGGAGAACCTTGCATGGAAAAGCGTCGCCTCCCGTTTTATTTGTGCGCCGGCGATTCGTGGGATCGGAACTCCTGGAGTCCGCTCAAAAATGCGGCCGTTGCCCCTTACGTAACCAAAAATGTGGAATTTTGTCCTGTTTTCGGCGGAGCTTAAGGAAATCGGCCCTTCTGGTGGCGGCGGAAGTTGGGAACTGGGCTTCCTCGTGGCTGGAATTTCCGAAGCGCTGCCGGCTCCGACGCGGGGACGATGTTGGCGCCGCCATTCCCAACGCGGGAGGAATTTGAGGCCAGTTCAGCCCAAAATGGCCCTTTAAAGCTCTGTATTTCCACGTTTTTTGGGTTTTTTTTTTCCTCCAACGGAATCGCTTTGGAAGGTTGTTCCCAACCGGCGGAGATTTTAGGAAAACGGTGGCAAGGCTGATGTTAATGATTATGATAGCACGCCCGGGTGTCGAAAGCCTGACGATCCCGGTTTTCCCTGACGATCCCGGTTTTCCCTGACGATCCCGATTTTCCCTGAAGATCCCGGTTTTCCCTGCATATCCCCCGGGAAGAAGATGGGAAAATCTCTCCCGCGTGGTGGAACGGCACGAGGGGAGCACCGAGGGATCCCATCCGTATCCCGCTGTCCCTGGATCCGCCGCTTCCTTTCGGGGGTATCCGCTGTTATTTGTCCCGTGCCGGCACTGGGAAGAGGCCGCGATCCCGGTGCTGGGAAGGGTTAATCCGAAGAGGAGGAGGGAGATAGGGTGGGAAAACAAAGAGCCGGGACGGGGAGGCTCCGGGCAGGTCCCCGCTCCGACGGCTCCGCTCGCGTTGGCCGCTCCGGCAAATGGGAAATGGGGTTTTCCCGTTCGCTCCGGAGCGCCGCGCCGGCTTCCCGTGCGGGGACAAAGTGGGGATATCGCTGCGTGTCCGGAGGCCGGGAATGCCGTGGGATGGCGCCCTTCCTCCTCCGAGGAATCCTCATCTTCATCCGTGGCCGCCGTCTCCCCATTCCAAAGGGTTTCCGCCGCTTGAGGGGTCAGGGAAGGAGCTGCAGGTTGGAATGGATCATGGGAAAGAAAAACGTGGGATTTGGGAATTGTGCGCACGGGGGCCAAGTGCAGCCGACTCGCGGCGGGGATGGCGGGATCTGCTCCGGATCCCGAGTTTATCGCTCGCGCGCGGAGGAACCGTCTTCGTCCGGCTGGATTTCCGCGGGAATGCGGGGCGGCCATTCCCGGAAGCCGGAGCCGGCGCGCTGAGGCGGGGGTTTCCTCGGCTCCCGCGGCATTCCCCACGGGAATTGGTGATTTGGGGGTTTTGGGGGCTGTAAGTCGCTTTGTCGCCGGGCTTTGCCACCCGCCTTCCTCCGCGTAATAGGGAAAAAGAGGAAAACAGAGGAAAAGATAGCGGATAACGGGATAACGGATGAATGGGCAGGTCCGTGCCCTCGGCTCCCTGCTCCCGAGCTGGTTCGAGGTGAAACCTCACAGATTTGGGATTGTTTTCCCGCTTTCCCAGAGTGGGAAAGTGTGTTTTCCCGCTTTCCTAAAGCCCTCCGCGGGCGCCCAGTTAGGCGTTTTCCCTCGGGATCGCTCCCGTTCGGTCCGTGCTTCCCAGAGGCTTTTCCTGGCGCTGCGGGGCCGATCCCGCAACGGGATGGGGCGCGCGACGGAGCACGGAGCGGCCGACGCTTCCGACGGCAGCGCCCAAAGGGGCCGTGTCCCGGCGTTCCCGCTGCGTCCCGTGGGAAAGCACTCGGCTCCGGATCCCCGGATCCCGAGGCCGCGCCGGGATCTCCTTCCCGGCATCCCTGGGAGCGGGCGCTGACGCGGGTGGGAATGTGGGGCCTGCGCCGCGGCGGCTCCGTCCCCGGCTGCTCCCCGGCTCCGGCGGCGAGCGGCAGAAATCCCGGGAAAGCGCACGGTGGGAGCCGCCGGCGGTTACTATATAAGGCAGAGCAATGCAGGCCGAAGGGAGCAGGGGGCAGCCCGGCGTTCCCGGCGGGAAGGCGGGCTCCCGTGGCCGCGGGAAGGCCGGGATCGAGGGGAATGCGGCCGCTGACGCCCCTCTCTGCCCTCTCCGCAGTTGACATGGACGATGAGGACGGCCGGTGCCTGCTCGACGTGATCTGGTGAGTGGGCACGGCGGCGGCGTTCCGGCGGCATCCCGCGCGCCGGCGTTCCCGCGGGATCCGCCGCGCTTCCCGCGGGACCCTCCGCCGCCCTAACCCGCCTCCCCGTTGCCTTGCAGCGACCCCCAGGCCCTCAACGACTTCCTGCATGGATCCGAAAAGGTGAGCGGAGCCGCGCGGCCCGGAGCATCCGCAGGGATCCCCTAAACCACGGGAGCGTCCCCGGGGCCCCCGCAGCCGCCTTTTCCCGGCACCTTTTGGGGCACTTTCTCGGATTCCGGCGCCCGGCCGCGCTCCGAGCGCTTTTTCTTTTGCATCCTCCGCTGAAAGGAAGTAAAACGAAGTCTTCTTAATTCCAGATTGACAGTGATGATCTCCTGGACAACACAGGAGATGCAGCCAGTGCCTTTTTTGAAGGTGCTGGGGTATGTATTTTTTTTTGCCTTATACTTGGGGAATGCTAGTTTAGAAACCTCATTTTTTGTGTGTTTTTTTTTAATTATTATTTTTATTTTGCAAGCCTTTTTTTTTTTTCCTTTTTTCCTCCTTTTTGTTTTTTTTTTCCTGCTTTTCATTTTTTTTTTCCCCATCCGTTTTCCGAGGTGAGTCGGTAGGATGCAGGGCTGATTCCCCAAGGGTCGTGGAGCCCGAGCCCCGCGATGCGGGGGCGGCGCATCCCTTCCGCGTGCCCGCGAAAAGCCCCGTTTTCTCTTCCCAACGCGGGAAAAGCCTCGCGGGCCAAGGTGAAAGCCGAGGAAAAGGTGCCCTGGCCCCTCTGGATGGGCTTGGAGGAGTGTTGGCAGCCAAAATGGGTTGGGAAACCACAATCCCTGCCCTCAGCTGCTCCCGGGGCAGCCGGAATCAGCGGAAACGTCCCCAAAATCCCCCTTCCCAGGCGCCCCGTCCCTCCGCCGCCTGCGTTTCGCTGCCGGCCGCCAGCAAAGCGGAGCGGCCGCTTCCGAAGCTGCCCTTGGAGCCGGAGCGCGCCGCGCTCCCCGCTCCGGGCGCCGCTTCCCGGTGCCGCGCGGAGCCGCCGGCCTTCACGGCGCGCTCTCCCCCGTTGCAGCTGCACGTGCAGGAGCCCTCGGGCAACCACCTGAGCGCGGAGCAGAGCCAGCCGGCGCCCAGCGTGGACCTGGACTTCTTGGAAGATGACATCCTGGGCTCGCCGGCGGGCGCCGGCGCCGGCGCCGAGCAGCCCTGCGACATCCTGCAGCAGAGCCTGCAGGAGGCCAACATCACGGAGCAGACGCTGGAGGCCGAGGCCGAGCTGGACCTGGGCTCCTTCCAGCTGCCCACGCTGCAGCCCGTGGTGCAGGCGGCGCCCGAGGGCGCCCCGCAGATCTTCTCCGGCGGCGCCGACCTGCTGGGCCTGCAGCCGCCCGCCGTGCTCACGCACCAGGCGCTGGTGCAGCAGCCCGTGGGCGCCGACGTGGTCAACAAGGCCATCAGCGTGCAGCCCTTCCTGCAGCAGGTCGGCATCGGCAACGTCACCATCCAGCCCATCCCCAACCTGCAGGGCCTGCCCAACGGCAGCCCCGGCGGCGCGCTGGGCATCGGGCCCATCCAGGTGGTGGGGCAGCAGGTGATGGCCATCAACCAGCCGGCGCAGCAGCTCCTGGCCAAGCAGGTGCAGCCCTCGCCGGTGGCCACGGTGCCCGTGGGCAGCTACATCGCGCAGACGGCGCCCGAGGTGACGCTGGCCTCGGCCGGGGTGTCTCCGCAGAGCGCCGGGCTCGTCATCCAGAAGAACCTGCCGGCCGTGGCCACCACGACGCTCAACGGCAGCTCCGTGTTCGGCGGCGTGGCGGGCGCGCCGCCCGCGCAGCCGCTCGCCGTCACCTCCAGCCTCAGCAGCCCCTTGGTGCCGGCGCAGAACGTCATCATCCACCGCACGCCCACGCCCATCCAGCCCAAGCCGGCGGGCGTGCTGCAGCAGAAGCTCTACCAGCTGACGCCGAAGCCCTTCGGCTCGCCCGGCGCCGCGCTCGCCATCCCCGGCGAGGCGGCGCTGCAGCCGCAGCCGCAGCAGCAGCAGCAGCAGCAGAAGGCGCAGCAGAACCTCACGTTCAAGGCGGGCCAGAACGTGGTGCTGTCGGGCTTCCCGCCGGCGCTGCCCGCCAACGTGTTCAAGCCGCCGCCGCCGCAGCCGCCGGCGCTCAGCAAGCCCATGAGCGTGCAGCTGCTCAACCAGGGCAGCAGCATCGTCATCCCGGCGCAGCACGTGCCGCAGGCCGTCAACCAGTTCCTGCTGCCGGGCGCCTCGGCCGTGCAGCTGCCGCCGCAGCTCTCGGCGCTGCCGGCCGGCGTGGGCGGGCAGCTGCTGGCGGCGTCGCACGCCGCCGCGCCGGCGCACATCATCACGAGCCAGGGCGCCGGCGCGCAGCTCATCGCCAACCCGGCGCTGCCGGCGCAGATCCTCACCAACCAGAACCTGGCCGGGCAGCTCAACCTGGGCCCGGTGCTGGCGTCGCCCAACGCGCCCGGCACCGCGCACATCCTCTCGGCGCCCATCCAGGTGGGCCAGCCGGCGCTCCGCCGCGTGCCCGTGCCGCTGGCGGGCGCGCAGAGCCAGCCCGC